AAAAAGTTATTGAGATCCCTCAACAATTTATTGGGTAAAAGGATTCCAGACTTTAGATTTTCTTGTACAGATCTTGCTAACTTCCATAAACATTTCATTATCAGTTCTGTGAACTTAGTATGAGTTGTGACTGCAGCAGTATCTACTTCTCGCAAGTTTGCTGATGATTTTTCTAGAATAGATATTAAAGCACTAAAAATGAAAAGGATAAATAACGCATAAATAAAATGTCTAAACTTACAACTAACTACTTAGAAATAATAATCAAATTACCTGTAAGTTGCATTGCGATTACTATTTTCGAGCACTTTCACCATTGAAACATTTAAAGCTTTTGATAATTGTTGGCCTGCTTCTAATACTTGGAGATTTAGATCCAGCAAACGATGAGCAAGTTCGGATAGTAATCGCTCAAGCGATTCTTGTGAAACTGCTAATGCTAAATTTTTATTGGAGAACAACAGAACTAAGGCATTCACCAAATGTTTGCATAGTCGAACAAGGGTTTGTGATTGTGGATCAAGTTGCGTATATGACATTCGTACTTGAATAGTTAGAGCATTAACAAGCTCATCAACATATGGAATAATTGATTCAGGAGAATTGTTCAAATGTTTATCCAACTCTTTCAATGCCTCTATACTCTGTTGATGTTCAAAGCTCATAATTTTGGAAATGGCCACTTCTACCAAGAATACGTTTCCAGTAGTACGCTGCCTAGCTGGTGGTGGTATTCCAGAAGAATTTACTACAGCTGAATTCTCAGAATTAGTCGTTGCCGAATATTCGACTTTGTCAATGTCCATACTCATAGATTCTTTCTTTTGGTCAGGTTCTTCAGAATTATCAGTATGTGATGAAGCTTGTCCATTCTGTCCCTGACGGAATTTTGAAAATTGAAGACGAGAAGGTGCGGGTAAACCTCTACCTATTCCACTTGGAGGCAATCCTCCCCTCTGAGCTGGTGATGGAAGTTTGTTCGGTGCAATTAAAGATGATGGTGCAGTTAATGATGATGGTGGATTTGGTGCAATTAATGACGATGGCGATGGACCATTATTAGCAGCTAGCGAAGCCGGTGGTTTGAGTTTTAATCCAGGTGGTAATTTTGGTGTATCATCATCGTCCACATCATCAGAAGCATCAGTTTCACTATTTTTGCTATCTTTTGAACTCGATGGCATAGCAAGCCTTGATTTTGCACCCATCTTTTTAGCATCTTTTCCTCTTGGAAGTGGACCAGTTCCATGTGCTGGTCTAACTGCTTCAATCATTGGCATTATAGTTTGTTTTACAGCTCCTTTAAGATCTCCACATTTAGTTACTACATAATCGTAACCAGCACTTTTAACGATAGGACCCAAACATGATTGCGCAGCTTTCCTTACATCCCCATTGCGATCTTGTAAACATGATAATATGGGTGGAACTAATGGTTGCAAATCTGGTAAAGTTTTCTTTTCATCCGCATCTTTGAGACGATCTGCGAGCCAACTTAATAAATCTTTTCGTAACAGAGGGTTCTCAGAACTAAGACTTGTTGCGAATGAAGAAACCATTGGATCAAGGCCAGTAGCAGCCGCCAAACAATCTAAACAACCAATAGCACTACCACGGACAGTAGCTTTTTGATCTGTTAACACAGCTGTCACAGGACCAACCAACATCTTTGCATATCTATCAAAAGGCTTGCCCATGGCTGTTGCAAGTTTGCCACAAATGTCCAGTGCCATCATTTGAAGGTTCTTATTACTATCAGCAAGGCGTGATTTAAGGATTGGTGTAAATTCACCTAAATTAGAAATGATTTAACATTGATGCCTTATTTAATTTTACGTTATAAAGGGACAAGGAAACAGGGAAATAAATACCTAAGTTCGGTTTAATTCTCTTGTTAGCATCCACAATAGCAAGGACTTGCTCAAGAGCCTCTTTTCGTGTTTTCCATTTATCATCATTTGCTTCCTAAAAAATGACATTTTACATGGTGATTAATTAATAAATCAATAATAACTTAATAAACACGAAAATAGATTAATTTGATGTTATACTAACAGTCATCATTTTACTAGTAAATTGTGCACCGATATCAACTTTTGGGAAAAGCTCTTCCAACGCGTCATTACCACCGCGCCCAGAGCCTGCTACCTCGACCTGATTTCAATAAAATATTTATAAATATATTAAACATGATAAGACTATAGGTTTTGAGTATCAAACAGACATATATATATATATCCATCCTAATTCATAGATTTTATTTTACGTACGCTTGTTTTTGTAGGCTGTGGAGGGGCTTGATCGGCAACTTTTTCGAATTCAACATCGATTGTAGCAAGTTGTGTAGGATTTAAATCTTGAACAAATGTCCTAATATCTAAATATTTGAATATCTGATTAATTAGTAAGCTTCCCGTTTAAAATTTCATATAGTAACCTAAAATTTACCTGGACCAACATAAATCCTCAAAGCTCCCAAGACAGTGACAGAATTGGTACGGACAGCCGCGTTAGAACTAGTTAATGTGAACTTGATAAAATCAATCAATTCTCGCACTTGAACTCCAACAATCCCGAATTCCATAATGGCACTATGAAACCACGTTAAACTATCAGCCAATACTTTTGGAGATTTAGCTTTTTTTAGTGGCTCATATGCTAAACAAATAAAACCAAAATAAATTAAATATAGAATACTTAGTAAAATGTGAAAGCAAATAAGATACTAACATTGTCCAAGAACAAATTGTAAAGATGTTTTTTCAGCAAATGCAGTTAAGGTTTCTCCAGCACTTTTTTTTGAGTTTAATGTCACCCAATTTTTCCAATAATACTATAAAATTTCAATATTAACAAAGTCCAAGTAAGGAAAACGTAATATAATGGTAGTAACGCGCAAATTACCAGGAATAGCAAGAGCTGCCGCCGGTTTTCCAAAAGATGGTGCCTTAGAAGCTATTAATTCCATTATATTGAATGCTTTGGACAATACCTAGATAATAATTGTCTGCTATGAGAGAAAGAAAGAGAGAAAAAAAAAGTAATGATTAGCAAGGTTCTAACACTAACTTGGAAATTGCTTTCTTTCCATCCAGGCTTTTTGGCAAGAAATCGAACTACTAGTTCTGCTTCAATATTAGAGGGGTCCATTTCATTTAACGTGTTATAAAGGTTTTCAATTGCTATATAATAAAACAAAACGGTGAGTATGAATATTTGATTTGTTAAATAATGACTAGTAAATTACCTGCTAAACGAAGCTTCCAATTTTTGTCACCCATTTCAGTAGTCTGCTCTTCCGGAACCAGTTCTGCAAATCTCGATTCAGTTTCCTCATTTGAGAATTTGTATTTCAGTGGTTCCTCTTCCTTAGCTTTAGCACCTTTTTTCGGTGGCGCAGAAGTAGCCGATGGTTTGGCAGCTTTTTTAGGTTGTACAGCTGGTTTAGAAACTTTTGGAGATTCTGCCACTTTTTTCTAAAATAGTATTTTCGTAATATAAATTAATATTTAGAATAATTTATTAGTTATTTTTTTTAAAAAAAAAAGCTTACCTCATCTTTTTTGGTTTCCTCGTCTTTTTTATCTTTTTTAGCTCCAACTTTAGTAGCAGGCTTAGCTTTAGGCGTTTGAGCTGGAGCTGGAGCGGCTGCAGGTGGTCTTTTTGGATTTGTAGCCTTAACTTTAACTTCTGCTTTTTCGAAGAACTCTTTAATCTTGCCCTTTTTAATATCATCAAGTCCTTCTATAAAAGGATTCATAGCTTTCTCTCCTATAACTTTCATCATAGTACCGAGACCTTCTGCAGCAGAAACACGAACAGGCTCAAAACTATCCTCGGAAGCTTTTACCATCATTTCAATTAATGCTTTGATCTCTCCCTTATTGGGAGCTACTTTGGTATTCCTCAAGCATCTAACTAGCCACTTCATCGACTCTGATTTTACCTGTGGATTCTTATGCTTCCCTGCAGCTACAATATCTTCAGTGACATCAGATATCGTGACCTTTTTAAGTTTTTTTTTTTTTAATATTCATGTAAAATAATGTAACGACGTTAAAAATTTAATTTGCTCACGGAATTAAATATCGCATCCAATGCAGATGCTAAAGCATCCACAACATTCTGCTTCCTTTCTTTGAGTTTTTCTATCAGCGGACCCGTTACCTGATATTAGAATGTAGATTTTAGAATTTTTGAAAATGCAAGCAATAGTAATACAAAGTTGATGAAAGTTTACCGTTGGTTTGTACTTTCCAAATGCTTCACGTAAGCCTGATGCTAAAGCTTCGATAACATTTGCGGCTAACGTTACTACTAATATATTTGAATCTGAAATTCGCTGTTAATTTGACGAATAAGTATATTACGAAATTTAGATTTATATATTCAAACTTCTAATGAAAAAGTAAGTAATTTATACTGAAATACCTTAGTAAGAGCGCCAACTAATTCTCCATAATTATTATCTGCAATTCTTGGTGTTTTGCAAATTTCAAGTAGACCATCTAATGCTTCTTTTCTATCTTTCCACTTTGTGGCTTGCTATAAATACATACATACTAGTATTAGGCAGCCAGTCTCACTAAATTTATATGTGATAATTTGTAATACGGTACCAATTGTGTATAAAAATCTTTGGGAATTTTTGATAATACGTCAACAGGTTCTGCTAGGTCATAAACGTCAATCTCTTTTTCTTCTTCGGCTTCGGCCTCTTCATCTATCAAACCAAATATTAGGTTTGTATTCTAAATTCGAATTTTATACAAACATATCTCTAAAACTTACCTTTTTCGGCCTCCTCTGTTTCTTTTTGTAACCGTAAAAATCGTTGTTGTGTAACTTTTTCTTGTGGTAATTTTTCAAAGGCTTCGTTTAATTCTTTCACCTGTTACCAAAATTTTAGTAGTGTAATAAGGAAATATTTGTTACCTAAAGATAATTAATTACCTGAACTGGTTTCAATTCCTGTAGATGTGGATTAATTGCTTGACCTAGCCATTTATAAAGTTCTATTACTAATCCTGTTCCCTATTAAATAAATAAATAAATAAACATGTTAACTTTCAAAAGAAAAAATTCTAATTGTATCATTATTATTCATATTCACTATTAATTGAATTGAATTACCTCTGCTCTAACGTTTTTATCGGTATGACCAAATATTTTTGGTAAAGTTTTGAGAATTGGTTTTACGTTAACTGTTTTTGCCCCATATAATCTAAATATATAAATGAATAGTTCAGTAAGGAGCTACTTGGTAAAGAAATAACATGCATTATTCCAAACACTAAATGCCTTATGATTTCTTTAAGTGCAAGAACAGTTGTAGTAACTATTTTAGGTTGTTTGGCATTTAACCCTCCAAGAACATCTTCCTGTAAATATTGAAATAATAAATAACTAATTATCAACATTTAACTGATATAGCTATAGCTATATAATACATACCATTACCACTGCTACTTGATCTAATGAGTCCACCACTTCAATGTATGTATAAATAAGTTCAAGTGCTTTATTCTTTGTTCCAGAACGAGAAGAACCAAACCCTTTTTCAACAACGGCAGGTATGATAGAACCCCTAGTCCTATAAGAACAAATTTAAAAAAAAAAAAATTAAAATTAAAGAGACAGCACCATAATTTGGTAATTAATGAACGTGAAATAACTTAATTAGGTCTGGGAAAAATTAAAAGAGAAATATTTGCCTTGTTGGATTAGGTGCATTTTCGACATAAGCCTGTAATGTTGACAAACCAGTCTCTTGAGCAACAGCGTTAGCGTCCGTTGCAATATTTTTCAAAAAGCCGTCAAAAGGTCGGAACTCGCTTTCGTTTGATGGATCCGCCTGTGAAAATTTTTTTGAAAGTTCTTCATATGCACCAACTCTAACCTTCCAAACCTATTAAAATAAGGACGTTAAAAAAGATTATCACCCTTGTATACTTTACTGTAAATGTGGTATAAATTAAAGTTTCACACCTTATGTGTAATTCGTTCAGTAAGAGGTAGTGAAGAGTAATCTTCTTCGGGAGTCGCCATTTATGTTATAGCAATGGAAGACGCGGGTTTTTTTTAGATGTATTGGTATTTTAAAGGTGTAAGGTTAGGTGTCTTTTTAAACTTAATAGGTTTCAAAATTATCAAAATATTGGAACATCACGGAATTTATTTAATGATGTAATTCAATTTGCGCCATTATATCATACCGATTTATTCCGCTTAAGGCAATATGCATTATGATTAGTAGAAGACACCGGAAACCTGTGTTTCTGTGCTTCCCTGTGCTTCTAGCATTACTTCTTTGATTACTGATTTCATCACCGTCTTAACGTTAAAGGCTTTTTTTTTTTCTTTTTATTTTTTCATTTCTAATTTACATCAGAAATATGCCTCCGGTCAAAGGTGTTGTAATATACTCAATATACAATATTTTTTTAAAGTACTTTTATATCCGTATTTACATGATTTAAAAACAGTGAATGTTAAATGGAAAGGAAAAAATCATGAGGTGGAACTTGATACTGAAGCACCAGTCAGTGATTTCAAGGCTCAACTCTTTTCCATAACCGAGGTTGAACCTAGTAGACAAAAGATCATGATTAAGGGTGGAATTTTGAAGGTTTGTTTGAAAAATAATTTTTTTAAACGGTCCGATCAAACTAATAATTTATAAATAGGATGACACCGATCTTAAAACACTCAATATTAAAGAGGTTAGAATTCTTTATCATTTCTGTATTTGTTTAATTCAATACCTGATTACTTTAACACATAACAATTTTTTTGATGAAAAGGGTGCTTCAATTATGGTATAGATCAATCAATCATCCTTTACATCACGTCATTTTATGTTTTATTGAAATTTTAATTTGATTAGATGATGGGAACGCCTGGAGAGTTACCAAAAGAACCTGCTAAAAAAACACTATTTATAGAAGATATGACAGATAGGCAATTGGCAGAAACTGTTAGTCAATTTATATTTTTATCACATATCTTTATCACACATAACTTATTTTGATGCTAATTTCTCGTTTCAAAAAATGATTACAATACAATGAAAAATAGTTGAAATTACCATCAGGTCTGAAAAACTTGGGTAATACTTGCTATATGAATGCCACTTTACAATGTCTTCGTACCATACCTGAATTACAAGAATCTCTGAACAGGTGTGTATGAAACATAAAATATTAAAAATATTAAATAAATGCAGTTGAATTATCACAGGAGAGTAATTTGTTATACCATTTCATATCCACATATATTACGAAAGGTTTCCTAACAGTGTTACGAGTCCAGACTTGCAGATAACTCTTACAACATCTTTACGTGATCTTTATAAACAGTTGAATCGAACCACAGAAAGCTATGTGCCGTTTACTTTCTTGCAGGTAAACATTATTCAATGTTCACAGCTTTTACTTTTAATTCATTTATAATTACTTAATTGTTATATGATTGATAGGCGCTTAGAAGTGCTTTTCCCCAATTTGACCAACGTAACGCTAACGGTTACATGCAACAAGACGCTGAAGAATGTTGGACTCAAATTGTTACTAGTTTGAATAATGCAAATATTCCAGTACATAGACTACAGGATAGCTCAACTTCATCAGAAGGGTCATCATCATCTTCTTCTTCAAATGAGTATTTTGTTAAACAGTACATGACGGGAGAGTTTACTTCGATGTATGAATTAAACTAGTTTAGGGTGTTTTTGATTTTTTATTATAGGTCAAATTATTAATTTAATAATTAGTTTAAAGTGCGTCGACGCTCCAGATGAACCGGAGTCTACCACTCATTCGACTTTTACGAAGTTGAGCTGTATTACTTCAGAAAAAGGTATATATACATACATCTATATTATATATATTGAAATGGTGCTCACAATTTTAGCAAAAATGTATTATACTTATTTACTATTTAAATTTAGACATAAATTATATGCAAAGTGGCATATTAATGGTACGATTTCGAGCATAATAACTTAATTTAATCTTATTGATCTACATTACGTCTTTTTTTTTTTTTATTAGTCCTTAGATGAGAATATAGAAAAAGATTCACCTAGTTTGGGTCACATTGCCAACTATACTAAAATTTCGCGTATTAGTCGTCTACCTTCATACCTTACAGTCGGATTTGTGCGATTCTGGTGGAAGAATAATCGTCAAATTAGAACCAAGATTACACGCAGAGTCCAATTTCCTTTTGATTATGACGCTTATGATTTATGTACAGATGAATTAAAACAAAAAATTGGGCCTTTGAGAGCTCACATCCTTGAACGCGAAAAAGAAAAAGATAGTGCTGAGGTTTAATACTTTACTTTCCATCTTAAAACGAATATATAATAGCGTAAACACTTATTTATTCTGCATTATAGCGTAAAGCAAAACTCTCAGTGAATTCCAACGAAAAGGAAACGGCCGAGTCTAAAAATGACAGTAATGTTAGTGAAGTTGATGAAGAAGTCAAAAAATTAATTGATCCAGATTTAGAAAAAGATATTGGAGCTAATGTGTCAGGATTATATGAGCTTTGTGCTGTGCTTACTCATATTGGACGGTCAGCAGATTCTGGTTAGTATTATATATTTTCCTTACTTAAACACATTACCTTTTGATCCTTATTTATCTTAATTTTAGGACATTACATTGGTTGGGCGCGTAAACATGATTCACGTAAGTACTTTACAAATAAAAGAGTAATTATTATAGAATTTAATCATATTAATCTATTAATCATTATTCGCTATTATTTCAGCTGAGGAGTGGGTAAAATACGATGATGACAAAGTCTCAATCGTGCCACAATCAGAGATTCAAAAGCTTGACGGTGGTGGTGGTAGTGCGTATTGAAGCAAAGTATTCTTATGATTTCTATATCGACGATTATAATTTAATCAATACATCTCATTTAATATAGGTGATTGGCATATTGCTTACATTCTTCTATATCGATCAAAGAAAATTGTCTGAAATATACAGTAGTTTATTTACTATATAGTAAATTTTTTTGTGATGTGATATAATATTTTCAGATTTTTTTATAAGGATGGAATATCAAATTTTTATGCTGAAATGATCCATTCTTGTGAGTTTATACGAACAAAATTATATAAAATTTAATTTTGTTCAAAAATAAGTACGCACGTACGTACCCGGTAAATCACGTGATTGATGAGCAGTTATGCAAATTCTTGAAACAATTTGGCCCGACCATTTTCAAATAATTCGCAGCCACATTAACATAAAAAACAAGGCTATTACTGTATTAGAGATTACCATGGCACTGGATCCAAACGGCGCTTATACTCGCATTCCCTATGTAATCATTTAGTCTTAATTCAGTAACTTAAATAATACAAATGACAATAATCATAGTGCAAAAAATTCGTTCTAACGAGTTTTAATTGTAAAAAAGTTATAGTTGATTTTTAATTTAGCTCTGCTATATTAAGAGTTTACCATATAGAGAATGACATGTATATATTTAGCTTTATATCAGTTGTATGATATCATATGTAATCAATGATTAAAGTTTTGGTATTGTTGCATTATACTTAAACTTAATTTCACACACGCATCCGTAATTGTTAAATCAAAAGATGATAAAATATATTACCAAAATAGTTCAACGAGTTTCATCCAAGAATAATACGTTTATTTCATTGTATTATGCATTATTGCATCAATGGTCCTACAATAAATGAAAAGAATCAACCGAAACATAAAATCTGGTAAAGTTCCAATTCGGATCCACGATTTTATTTAGAACTGATCCTAGGATAACCTTTTTTCTCATTGGTCAATTTTCATTTAGTTGAACTTATACGTACAGTACGTACAATTCAGCGGTTTAGAGTAGCAAAAATGTAACATTTCACAAGCAAAAAAAAAATAAAACAATATAACGAGCGAGGAATTATGCAAAGAAACTTTATATTAAATAATAAATATATGTACATGATTATAACTAAGCTTTTTTTTTAATGCAGTAAATAAATACATTATTTAAGCTTTATTCATAAAGTTTTAGGATCTAAACCTTAACGCTAATAAATAAAAATAGTCAGCAATAAA